CAAATTCGCTGTTCCACATGGGCCGCCCAAAGATGGTTTTGTGCCTGAGGCCCGTCACTGTGTCCGTAGCGGTGTCGAAGCGGAGCGCCACATTGTTGGCCTGGGCAGAGCAGGGACGGTGAGGACCCCGGCCACCACCCGTCAGCCCACCTCCAGTCCCTCGCCGCGGAGGAGCATCTATTGCCGATGCCCACCAAACACCGTCCCCAGCCTTCCTGCCCGCAAGCTGTTGACGTGCTTGCCCTGCCTCTCCTGCCCAACTTGGCCACCCCGTGTCCCGCCCCTTGCAGTCGTGCCTGCCCGTGGTCGACTCACAATGCTGGTGTCCCAGCCAGTGAGGAAGAGGCGGTAGGTGAGAAAGTCCGCCTTGCCCGACTCGGCCATCTTCTGCTCCAGCGAGGCAAGCAGGTCGTTGAACCAGGCAAAGGCTCCCGTGTCCCGGCAGAGCCAGTAGAAGTAGATCTGGGATGCAGGGGCAGAAGGGTTGCTCAAGGTGTTGCAGAGCAGGAGGGGTGGAGGGATGTCAAGGACCGGGAAGCCCAGCATGGAGAAACCCACGGCTGGTCCCATGGGACACCCCATACCTTCTTGGTCTTCAGGTTCTGGTCAGCCTGCTGGAACTTGTACCAGATGGACTTCAGGATGGAGGCGAAGGGGGTGACTCCGATGCCCGCTCCCACCAGCATGGCCACTTCATACTGGAACACATCTTCACTGGCCGTGCCGAAGGGGCCGTCCACCTCGATCCTGGCCAAAGGAGGGCCTGGGTAAGAGGTATGGCCTCCCAAATAGTCGGGATGGTCCGTTCGGGCGCTCCAGCCTACCTGGGCATCTCCAGCTTCTGCTGCTGGAAGGTGTCGATGAGACTCTCCGTCCAGTCGCCGGCCGCCCGGATGTGGATGGAGAAGAAGTCCTCCTCAGGCGCTGAGGTGAGGGTGAAGGGGTGCCACTCCAGCAGGGAGATGGCGGGGCAGTTGACAAAGATGTACTGCCCCACCTCCATGCGGAAGCCCTTCTTCTGCATCTGCAGCTCCAGCACACGGGCAGGGTGCATGACCACCTGCGGGGCAGGGACGGGGCTCAGCGCCCGGCCTGGCTCCTGTCCCTGGGCAAGGGGCTTCGGCAGC